TTGTCGGGTCGGTATCGCATGACGAGATCCGTCCGACAGGGTGACCCTACGGCTGCCCCGCTCTTCCTCTTCACAATGGAACCCATTGCTTCCTTCCTCCGCAAAGACCTCTCTATCGAAAGACTCATGGCCGAGCCAGCCCCGGATGCCCACAGAGTGTCTCTACCGGTCACATTACTTTTCGCTGACGACCTTACCGCCCTGATTTGAGCTTCTGACTCACCCTTTGCAGCACTGACGCGAGCAACACAGGCCTTCAAACCTAGCATCAGAAATGAAAATCAAGTGGCATAAAATGATGGGGTGGTGGCTTGCCGACACTGCGGTGCCTTCGCAGGCCATCACCCCGGAAGGATATGCCCAGCAAGACCGACGGCTTCCACTCCATTCCTAGGAATTCGGTTAACTGATAATGGTTCAGATCACGCTATGGCGCCGGAGATCCTTTTTTTTTTTTTTTTTTTTTTTTCCAAACGCACCCCCTGCAGTGTTAGTGGTGCTGGTAAGAGCAGACACCACTAGCACCCGAGGCTCCATCTATTGGTGGGGAGCTTCACCTGCTGGAAAACGGGTCCAGCGTCCCATATACAAAATTGATGAGCATGAACAGAAAGAATGAGGAACCTGCCAGCATTGATTACTCTGGCTTCCAGAGGATTAACTGTGCAGGTTTGTTTGAGAACAGGGAGGAGACCTCTTCATCCAAAACTAGATGCCAGATATCCACTGCTGAATGACCTAGTTCCTCCCTGTTTCTTAGGAAGCTTGAAGAAACTGTGTTCCAGAAGCAGCGTTAACTGCCTCAGAGCTGGATTGTTGTAGAATACTTTGATTCCCCACTCCACCTCCACAAAATATGGTCAACACTTTCTCCCTCGGGGGGCACCGAGAGGCAGGGCCGTCTTGAGGTGAGACTGCGTGATCCAAGCAACAGCGATGCAACAGAGATGGAACACAAAATCGGGAAAGGGGAGGGGGACCAGATAGGATGACCAGACGGGTGAGATCTTGGCAGGGTCGGGTCAAACAAGGGACTCGACAAGAGCCAGTGGGTGAGGGGGGAAGGGATCGGGGAAGTCCGTCGGGGGACGTTGCAGGAAGGAGGGTTCTATCGTCGTCCAGTCCATAACGAGCAGCCGGTAATCCCGTACTACTACCCTCTCCTGTTGCTGGGCCTCTTGCTTTCTACCACTCCATTCCACTCTGGCTATCCATCCTCCTTCTGCTAACTAGTTGGTGCAGAAGGAGGTGATGGCTCTTTCTATGTCCCTCGTCATTTGTAGCAGGTCCAGCTTAATCTTCACTTCCTGCCACCTGTTCATTATTTCCATTTGGACTTGTTGTCGGATTTGGTCAGTCATTTCTGCTCCCTCCACCCGCACCCCCTCAAGTGCCATTAGGCAGCGCTGCCACCAAAGTCCCCATGGTACTGCCCTTCGTCCCAAATTATACATATTTTCCACGAATGGTGATTGTCTCTGTGCCTGTGCCCAATGGCCCACTAGAATGGCTCTCCAGGACCATGGCCATGACGGGTCTGGTATCATCTTTCTCCATATTCGATCCCACTATCGCCTCATAAGCTGCGCCGTAGGGCACTGCATAAAAATGTGCTCTATAGTTTCGGCTCTTTTTTGAACGGGAAAGGCACTCAGGCACCGTGGACACCAGGGTACCGCCTGACCTTTCTGTTCCAGATTCGTGTGATCTATGAGCCAGTCCATGGTGGGTAAACAACGATGCGCAATCTGCCACTGCAAGGAGGAGATCTTAGCTGGTTTGGTCTTACCTCCCTGAAACCACCGAATCGGTGTAAGCAAGTTCCTGTCACCTTTAAGATGCTTGGCCCATCGATCCATTATTACATCCCTTAACGGACGTTTGGGCCTCAACAACCCATATGTGGACTTGACCGAGAGCTTATGTAGGTAGGTGTCACGGGGGGGGTTGGTTCTGCGTGTGGCTGGAGCCCACCTCCACTCCAGTGGGTCAAAAGCCAGGTGTTGGATGTCGGTGTCTGGCTGAAAGCCGACCGCCTCCTCTCCTTCTCCCAGCACACTGACCCCCAAAACAACAGTTTTATCCCTCCATTCGAGGGGGTCATGGCTCCCCTGCAATGTCCCTGTCTTGCGGACTGTGTACCATTCAATTAATACATCTTGGGGCCTAATCATGTGGATCATACCTATGCGTCCCCCCTCGCCTCTGCCGGCTACCCAGTCATCCTCCCTGAAAACCGGACCTTTTCTGAGGGTTGTATACCACGCTAAGGGAATAGTATCCAATAGTTCTTCCAGATTTACCTCGTTAAAATGACAATATTTTAACCTGCTGCGCAATTCTTTCCCTGTCCTCCATCTTCTCAAGACTGGGTCCCATAAGTCCCCTATCCGGGTTACCCCGTTCTTTACCCATCCTTTCAAGGGAGATGACGTGCTGCACCTTATCTGCCCGTGCCTGTCGACCAGCAAGCGGTTTCCGAAGAGGGGCTGGCGGTATATTTCTTCCCATTTTTCGGGGGGTTGCTTATTAGGGAGGGGGAGTTTGCCCCAGGCCTTGAGTAGGGAGGGCCAAAACTGGTCCATAATATCTTCCCCTTGACCTCCCTCCATCTGCCATTTTGGAGGTATGGTCCAGTGCCTGTCCTCTAGCCAGGTCAAGGGATGTATTTCAGGGGGGGCTGTCGGGGCCAATCTGGCCAGGTGTTCCAGCGCCATAACCTTCCATGAGCTATTTATCATGAGAACAAGTTTTTTGAGCCACTGGAGCCGCAGAGCATGAACTTGCGTAGCCGAATCTATGATCCTCAGGCCCCCTGTGATTCTAGGTTGAATGATGGAGTCCCATGTGACCCTGCTGATTACATTTGTCCGCTCATCGTCCCCCCTCCATAGGTAGGCTGCTACTTTTGACTTCAGCCTTTGCAGTGCTTGCTTGCTTAAGGGTCACAATAGTGATTTGTACCATGTTGTTGCAAGCACTACATTATTTATTATCAGTGCCCTACCGAAGAGTGAGGTGGTCTTGTTCCGCCATTTGGCCAGTTTGGCCAGGGCCGGGGCGGTAATCCATTTGTCACTTGTCGGCGAACGGCCTATCACCGTCATGGATACTCCTAGGACTCTAAGCGGGGCTTCCAAAAGGAGCCATGAGATACGGGGGGGTTCTGGTGGACGGCCTCCTTGGTAGTGGATCCACCATCCTTGCGTTTTATTTCCCCAGTTGACTTTCATGTCCGAGACTTGGGAAAATCTCTCCATCAGGCGTTGAATCTCTTGCATATTAGGCGTGGTAGCTTCTACCATGATTGTGAGATAATCTGCAAAAAGGGAGCAGATCGGAACTGCCTCTTCCGGTATACGGGCTACTTTTATTCTAGAGATGTCTTTATTCGCCCGTGAGTTGGCTGCAAGGGCCTCCATGATAACTAGGAAAAGGAAGGGGGCAATAGGGTCCCCCTTACGGACCGATCTTTCAAGTTTTATCGGGGGGGCCAAGGTCCCGTTAATCTGGATCGTTGTCGTGGTGTTTGCATGCAAGATGCGCACCCACTTTCTAAACACCGGTCCGAAGTTCATTTTCTGTAGGCATTTGTCCAAAAAGAGTCAGTCAACATGGTCATACGCTTTCTCAAAGTCTATGAAGACCAATGCTGCATTTTGTCGAGTGTGTCTGGCGAGGTGCAGGACCTCATGGACCAGTAGGATATTCTCCTGGATGTTCGGTTGCGCATAAATCCGGTTTGGGCAGAATGTATAATATCCTCCATCACAGGGATCATTCTGTTTGCCAGTGCTTTAGCTAGCATTTTGTATGTCACTGTGAGGAGGGTGATGGGTCTGTAATTCCGAATATTCATCTTATCTCCTTTTTTCTATAGCAGTGATAAGATACCTTGCCCCACCATTTCTCCCATTCCCCCTGACATCCATACTTCCACATAATAGTCCATAAGGTCTTGGTTCATTGTGTCCCACATTACCTATTTATGGTGTGATAGAATTAGCTATATGTTATGCTTTTATTTGGCAAATTTCTCAAGACAAAATAGCTGACAGATCTAATATGGAGACTTGAAGGATAAGAAAGATAATTAATAAAGCGCCCATTGGAACTGTTTGTAAGAAAC